TGCGTGCAAGTACTTGAAGGCATCCATGTGACACACACATATATAAACAAATCTCAAAGAGTGGGACTAGAAAGAGTTGTCATGATCAAAACCTCAGATAAGATAATCTGTGAGCAATTCTAGGAATTTTGTTGTTGTAGAGATGATGCATTTGACTTTTCTGTTTCTGGAGTTTGCTAACTTTCCCACACTAAAACCCAAGGAAATAACTGACACTGATTTAAAGTAGATTGTAGATTCACTGTCCTCAGCTGTCTGCTGGGTGCCCAGACCAGCAACACCCAAAGGACGTTGGGTAAAGCTGACCTCTCCAGATCCCTTACAGTGCTCCAGGACACACGGCATCCAAACTTCATCTGGGTGGGGAAACAGGACAGTGGCTGTCTCAGCCAGAGAGAGGTATCTGCTATTCTCCCACCCAGTGCCTGGACAAGCTGCTGATAGGTGCACTCCAAAGAGCTTCCTTGACCACAGCACTCAGGACATAGGCACAGACGCTAGCTGCTCTCTGCTAATGACATTGCAGGGCCACGATATCTGCTGTTGTCGGGTGGGAGGGCATCTGCTCGAGAATACTTCTAGAAGCAGGTGTATGGCTTTTCTATAACCCATGATACTAGCCTCAGTAATTCTAGGACAGTGGTTCTCAACTGGAGGGTCACAACCCCTTGGGTGATTGAATGACTCTTTCACAGGGGTCACTTATCAGATATCCTATATATCAGATAGTTACATTACAATTCTTAACAGTAGCAAGATTACACTTATGAAACAGCAACGATATAATTTTATAGTTGGGGGTCATGACAACATGAGGAACTGTATTAAAGGGTTGCAGCATTAGGAAGATTGAGAACCAATGCTCTAGGAACATCCTCTGTTTTAATTCCGAGTATACAAGGTACACAGTGAAGATTTAGGATTTGGGAATGGCTGTACGATGTTTTGCAGGCATTTCTATCTGGTTGTCTTACAGCTTTCCTCATTAATCATGACATCCGCCTGTGAACACATGATATACCCTATGCTGCCTGCACTTGAGTCAGGGGGCCCCCTATTGCCCCCCTGGATCTCTGCCCCATTTTCTGGTCAGCTCACACTGTCTTCTGCCAGTTGCTCTCATGGGATTCCCTGGGAAGCCTTGCCAGCTACAGATTCCCATCAGAATCTTGCAGCCAATGTGCTCTCCTCTTGATCAGAATGGGATCTAATGAGGTCTTTGGTCTCCATGAGTGAATTCAAAGTGTGCATTTCTTTCCCATCTGAGCGGCAAACTGAGTGGCGTGGCACTCATGTGGCATACTTCCACAGTTCCTCCCTTGGGGAACTGGAACTCTTTCCGTAATCATTTTCTCTCTTTTCCTTGTAGTCATGCAATCTGTGGAGGACTGAAGGAATATTGAATATTGAAGAGGTCAAACGAAAGCAGAGTGCTAGGGTCTTCTGTTCTTGGCTTTTTCTGGTCAGTGGGAAACTGGTGCTTTCGGGCAGATGTGCAGCTACCAGGTCTCTAGTGGGAGAGGAGAGTCGGGAGCACTTAGTAAGGGACAAATGCCCTCTATCCTTCACTCAGCACGTTCAAATTCCCTTTCAACTTGTTACCATTTCCTCTCAGAAGCAGGAGAGTTAATTAAACTTGTTTATTTGGTTACAATTTTGATAGTCGCATAAGTCATTACAATACATTTTCACTTCTGCCTTTTGTGGGCCAGCACAACTTGATTATGAACCTTCCTTCCAGGACTCAGGAGCCACTTCCTGATTACACTGATGTTTTCATCTGGCTTCTCCAGCTCTCTCCCCTATTCAATAGAGAGAGCTAAGAGGAAAAACAGTTATCATGCCCTCTGTCTGCTCCAGGCCACATCCCAAGGCCTCCACCACTTTCCTCTCTCCTGAGCAGGCTGAGGAAAGACTCTAACATCTCCATGTTGTTTGCTGTCAGGCACCAGAATAGCAATGGCTCTTCCTCCCTCCTTCAAATCCATCCTTCCCCCCATGCTTGCTTCACAAGCACAAAAGAAAGAAAACACACTCACATCCTGATATTGGCCAGGTTTCCAAAATAATTAAACTTCCCTCACTTTCAAAGAGACAAGTTCCCTGTGACTTCGGTGCTCAGATGTTCAACTCCAGGGCCTTCTTAAGCTTTGTTTGACCTTTGCTGGAGATCTAGGGATGTCACAGCAGGCCACCTCATGGACTGAGGGACAAATGTTTTGTCATCTGCTTCCTGTTGTCCCGGCAGCTTGGGCGGTGGGGAGGCGTGGTTGGAGATACTGCTGCTAAGGACAGACATGAACTCATGTTCAGGACACCAGAAGGAAGCGCTTCATGCATTTCCACACTCTGCCTTTTTGTTAGGATCTGCCCAAGTCAGTTTAGAATCTGATGAATAATATCAGTCCCCTCCCCAGGAGTCTCATCCCAGGCTCTGGTACCCATTGACCAGCATTACTTGTTAGCAGGCACCATTACATCTTCTGTGGGACTCCTTATTACCTGAGGGTGAGTCTAGTGACTCCGCTGTTTACCTGCACTTTGACTGCTCCATGGAACCTTAGTTCTCTGCCATGAAATAGGGACACCAATTTCCATGTCAGGTCTTTTACTATCTACAGTGATTCATGCAACATCTTTTGGGTTGTGTTTGTACAAAAATAGACATCAGTGCATTGCTAGTGTTATTGTTCTTAACGAGTGAGTGTTGTGGTTGGATATGCTTTGAGCATGTCCCTGATGTGTCCATGTGTTGGTGACTTGGTCCCTATCCTGTTGGTGTTGGGTCTGAGGGAACCTTCAAGAAGTGGGACCCAATGGGAGATGCTTGGGACACTGAGAACTGTAAAGTAGTTCTCGTGAAACCCTAGTTAGTACCCATAAGGGCAAGTTGGTTCAAAGGAATCAGCCTTACTGTGAACTGGGCTTTGGCTTCCTCCCCTTGTGCTTCCCTCTTCACAGTCCCTCCTAATGTGATCCAGGTTCCCATAAGCTCCTGTCAGAGGATGAGCCCAGAGTGCCCAGTCTTGCATCCTCAGCCTCTCCACCTGTGAGCTAAACAAACCGCTTTTCTTTGTAAGGTTCCCAGCCATGTGTATTTTGTTACAGAGATGGAAACCGTAAGGATAGTGGATGTTTTTGACCCTCTTTGAATCTTTGCAGGAGATCGTTCACATTAGGAGAGCTACAGGAGAACAGATAAGGACTGATCTTCCTTTTCCAAAACCACTGGAAAATAAACTTCTATGTGTTAATATTAAAACTGAGAGACTATGAAAGAAAGTGTTGATGCTTGGAGGGACAGTGGGCATGGGGTGCCTGCCACGTGAGCGGACTGAACTGCTGGGCTTTACAGTCAAAGAATAAAGTATCACTCAAACTTGCATAAAAAGAAAACACATGGGAAATTTTAATAAAATCCAGTGCTTGCTACTATATGAAAAATTAGATTTACCTATGTTCTCCATCTTCAGGACTTGCACAATTGCATTTAAAAGATCTATTAATACATTGATATTGATACCCTTGCTGCGGTCTGCCTTTGATTCCAAAGATTCAGCAAAGCACAAACTAGATCACATGGGGCTTCCATGCTGCTAAAGGCCAACTCAGTGATTTAAAATAAATGGCAATTCTGGGGCTCAGTTTCCTGAAATTGGTATTCAGGGGTTGTAGCTCAGGCTAAGGCTTAATTTGTTTTAATGTTCTTCACCTAAACATTAGCTGCAGTCAAGACTGAGTGAAAAATCACTAGTAGGACTGTCATCTCTCTAGTTTCTCATTCCCTCCTGGAGGAACCAAGGAAGGAAGCTCATGAGACTCAGGAAGCTCATGAAAATTACAGGACTCATCTGGCCCCTCCCCCAGGCTATGTGAGCAGTGAGCAGTGTCTAAGAAAAAGAAGTCTCTTCAGAGGAGCTGACTGCAAGTTGTGCAAGGAGCTCCAGGGATTCACAAGTCATCCCCACACTGAGTGAGTTTTTGGTGATGACGCTGCCTGAGAGGCTCTTGTGCTTTACCCATGTTCTTATGAGTGGCCCTGATATCCACTGGTTTGCCAAGATAGACTTGAGTGGGACAATTTCTTTACCATCAGTGCCCTATCTGGAACAAACAGATGTTTATTTGTGCCTCCCCAGGAAAAGTTACACAGCAAAGACCCTTACAAATCAGATAAGGACATTAAACAGAAATTCCCTAATCCCCGTGGAGCACATTTTGTATCAGAGAAGTAGTAAGAATAGTTGTTGCTATGGACAATCAACCCAATTAGTTCCAAGCCTTGAGTCCTGGGAACCAGAGAGAACTGAGATGCCAGAGCAGAGAAGGGCCAAGAAATGGAAAGGGTAGAGAAGATTCTCCGTAAGAACAAGAAGACAGGTGAGGTGTTTGGGCTCTTAGTGGGGCCGCGGAGGAGGGATTTTCGGAGGGGAAGACTGAGAGAGGTGATAAATGCTAAACAGGCAATGTGGACATGGGCAGGCAGGAAACAGAACAAACATGCAGGGGACTGTAAAGAAAACAATCTGGAACTCCTTAATGTCATAAATACAGAGCATCGGAGAGAAGGAGAAAATGAAAGGAGTGCCAGGCTTGGCCTCCAGGAAGGCTGCTATGAAAAGATGCTCCCGTTGTACGCATTCTCGGGGCTTTTGCATTCAGTGGGTTTTTATTGCACACAGAGATTCACACTGATTGAGACTGTGCTACATAGCCTAGGTGTGTGACAGGTTAGGCTACCTGGGTTTGTGCTAATACCTTGTGATGGTCACAGGATGATGAAGTCAGCTAATGATTAATTTCCTAGTACCTGTCTGTTGATAAGTGACACCTGGAATGATAACTGAGCTCTGCTGGCTTTACTCTCCCTACAGAATGTCTGCCCTTAGTATCTCTTGACCACACCCCACTACTGTGGTAGATGGCCCTGATGCCCTCCTAACCCACTGTCTTCTTACCCAGGTCAGGGTCATGCTTAAGCAGGGGTGGCTTACCTCACAGAGCTAGAAGATGGACGTCAGAGGTGAAGGCATGGGTAGGGCTGGTTTCTCTGGTTTCTCTCTCCTTGACTTGCAAATGGCATCTCCTTGGTTCCCACTTGGCCTTACTCCAATCTTGCACTGTACTCTGTCTACTTCTTGCAAGGACATCAGACTAGATGAACGCACACCCTAATGAACCCACCATACTGAAACAACCCCTTAAGGACACTAATATCCAACACAATCATATTCTTTGGTACTGGAGATAAGACATTCAACACATGAATATTCTGAAGGAATACAATCCAGCCATAACAAGATCTGGGCAATAAGAGTTTTGGAAGATAACACCCCAGCAGAGTCCACTGTCGGGGCAACACTGACAGATGAGCCAGGGATGTTCACACCCAATGCTCTGGGAGCTGCCAGGCCTCCAGAGCAGAAGCACCAGTGCACTCACTGGTCCTTCTTTGTCAGCAACATCTGGGTTCCACATACATCTTTGGCCATTGAGCTCCAGATGTGGAGTCATAAACAGCTAACTCATCTTCAGTCTCTAGCTCCTCTTTCCACAAGGCTGGAAACTGAGGCCCAGGGCCTGCTGATGGTGGCCCTATGTGTCTTTCCCACATGAGGGTGTGAACAGAGCCTCTTTCCCTCCCCAGGACAGAGGGGCTTGGTCACCAATGGACAGCTGCACTGCCTGCCCCATCCCTGAGGACAAATTTATCTCCAGAAACTCTCCAGCCTGCATCTTCCCAACACATCTGAGGAGATGGTGTAAACCCCTGGTGATGGGAAGCGCGTCTCCTCAGGCTGGGGTTGAGCCTCTTCTGTGCGCTGCTGTGAAACATCACTTCTTAGACTCTGAGATTTTTTAATTATATGACACAACAACATCACAGTTTTCTTTAGACTTCTTCCATGGTGCCTTTGCTGATGATGCTTCCTAACTTGCTTTCGTAGCAGATTGAATTCTATGGAAGTTTTATAGGAAGATAAGGTAAAGGAAGTGAGCTAGTAGCTTTGATGTAACCACTGCCATAGCCATGTATCATCCATAAATATAGCTGTCGACATAGCAATAGTCACTGATGCAGCCACTACCATAGCCGTGGACTGCCCACAGCCGTACACATGGACATAGTCACCACAGTAGCCACAACCACAGAAATAACCAGAAGACAGTACCATAGCCATAGTCAAAGACATAAACATGGACATGGACATAGACATAGTCAGCATCATAGCCATAGCCATTGCTATAAAAACACATCTGTAGATAGACACAGATGCCAACATGGCATACTCCTATCAGTGGTCCTGTCTCTGCAAAACCTGTTCAAGGAAAAGACATGCAGAAAGGAGGCCTTCTTCTCACTAAGGGGGCTTTCTCATATTCCCAGCATCTCTCACCTCTCTCACAGGCTATGTGCACAGCATGACGTAACATCCTGGTGCTGGCTAGAAAGTGGTGGGCGCCCTCATGTACACACAGATGGGTCTGGTTCACACTACCCCGGGTTTTGTTGGCTGTTTCTGGCCGTCTTCATTGGCTCGTGTCATGTCATGGTTAAAGCATGGAGTCCTGTGGGAGAAAGGCCCAGTCATTCACATGAACTTGGTGTTGCCTTGGGTTTCTGATCATTTTCACAGACATGTTACCGCTCCCATTTTTAGGGTAAATGGTGGCTGTACAAACATACTTTTTCTTACAGACATTTATCATGAATCCCACTTGACTCTCCTGGGCTCTCAAAGCTGCCCTGAGTTGTTTTGCCTTCTAAAATTCATTGTGAGTTTTGAACATCAGTGTTAAAAGGAAACAATTGGGGACTTTGAAAATAGCTCTCATAAGTCTGTCATAAGATGCCATGGCCAGAAACCTTAGAAAAGAAAGTTTAAAGCTTGTGGTTCCCGAGGTTAGAGTCCACGAGGACAGAGGGAATGAATGATGGCTGGAGCTGCAGATGGCAGCTTCACATCTTGATCGCAAGTAGGGGCAGAAAGCACACTGGGAATGGCATGAGTCTTTTGAAACCTCAAAGGTCACCCCCAGTGGCACAGCTTCTCTAACAAGGCCATACCTCCTAGTCCCCTCAAACAGCTCCAACAATTGAGGACCAAGTATTCAAACATATGAGCCTGTGGAGCCCATCCTCATTCAGACTATCACATTCTGCTCCCTAGCCTCTACAGTCTCATGGCCATATCAAAATGCAAAATGTATTTAGCCCAACTTCAAAAATTCCCATGATCTTTCACAGTCTCAACACCATTTCAAAGTCCAAAGTGACTTCTGAGACTCAAGGCCATCTCTTAACTATGACCCCTTATAAAATAAAACATTATTTTTAAAAAATTACATACTTTCAACATACAATAGCACAGAACATACATTATATACATTCTATTACATATTATATTATATATTATATATATTAGCATTCCATAAAAAACAGAAACAGGGGCATAGTGAGGGAGTACTGGACCAAAGCAAGACTGAAACCCAGCAGGACAAATTCCAAATCCTGTTACACCATGTCTGATGTCAAAGGATGTAGATGGCGCCATCCTTCCAGCAGTGCTGACTGCAACACACTTCTCTCTCTTGGGCTGGTTCCACCTCCTATTCATGACTCTTCTCGGTAGACATCCCACAACTCTGGCATCTGAAACATCTTGGGGTCTCCAATATAATCCAGGCCTTACCTTCACAGCTTCATACAACAGCCTCTCATGGCCACCATGCAGGGACTCCCTTGCCAAACACCTGGTCTCAGAGGCTCCCTTTAACCACAGAACAAGATTCTATGTATGACCCCTTTACTCCTATACCCTCTGTGACTCTAAAGTGAGGACCATGTGGCCAATGCCGACAAGTTCAGCTACCTGTTTGGGATGGAACCTGGCCGCCTTGAATCTCATTTGCAGCAGCTTTCCTTTTTTGTTGTTGTTTCAATCCTAAATTCTTTAAACCATTTCCTTTTACAAGTTGGAAGCTTAACTGGGTGTGGTCTTGCCTTGAAGGCACCTTGCACCTATTCCATTTCAAATCAGAACCCCTCCTCAATCTCCTTATCGCTTTCAGCACAAGCCTTGGCTCCAACATTAAATTTTCTGATACTCCTTTTTCTTTTTAAACTGTACATTTTGTATTTCTTTGCTCTACTTGCTCCCTCTCATTGTAGACCTGCATGAAAGTGATTACTAATAACCACATGACAGAGTCAATATTGGCCTGCCTTAAAATCTCCTCCATCAAATGAATTTGTCCATTACATTATATTTGGCCTCAGGAAAATTCTTAGGA